ACGGAATTCATTTGTTTAGTCAATTACCAAAATTTGGATGATTTTGAATATTCACTTGAAAAGTTATCAAAGAAAAACATTTTTCATTTTGTAACTTCGAGGGCCCGTTACTTGGTAACGAAGGATTTTAGGAAAAAAAATTATATGAAGTACTGGTGATATTTTGACCCCATCTATACATTCCCGAGGAGAAAAGAGGAAGTCCAGGGACACCCTGTATAATGGGAGCTGAATATTTGAGGTAAAACAATTCATGAGGTTTATGTTGTAGATATATTGCCCAGGCTTCATCAAGCTGCAAATCGTTTGATATTTGCAGAAACAAATATTTCAGAATAAACTTTTTTCAAAGTTGTGAATATCATGCAGAAAAGTAGCTCTCAGATACAAACTGGAATAAAAAGCAGTTTCGAAATAACTACTTTCATATAAACAGTGAATTTTACGAAAGAATCCATACTTCCACAACAACTACTTCTATATGAACATTGAATTATGCAAAAACACTTTTACCTATTCTATTTGTACTTTCTCGTATCAGAAGTTACATCAAAAACCAAATAAAATTACCTTATCATAACTACTAACATTCTGTTGAATCAAACGTCCACAATGACCTAAAAGCTTCTGGAATTTTCTTCAACGCAAAAAAAGATCTTCCAGAATACCCAATAGATTATTTATGGAAGACACCATCCTAGATGCCCCTCAAGACACAGTTAACGGGTTTGCTGTTTAACAGAGTTTTCTCCCACCATACAAATCTTGAGTCCAACTCTGATAGTGTGACTGGAGAAAATATTTTCATAACACCTTTCACAGAGGAACAAGTAATACTTTCGCTTAGGAAATTACCCAATAAAATGGCTTCTGGATATGTTCCTATTCCCAGCTTCCTTGTGAGGGACTCTATTCAGGATTTTGCTTATTCATTGTCAAAAATATTCTGTTTAAAGAAATCTGATTGAAATATTTTTTTCCGTTAATCAGCTGTCGCCCCCATACGAACGACAACTTTCAGAAGTTGAGAAACTTGAGCGAGCTAAGGACTAACGAGGTTTCATCTTTTAACTTGTGATTCTTAACACTATTCTAAGCAAATTTCATTTTCCTGAACGATGGAAACAATAAAAAATCTGCCCAATTCTTTAAATCTGGAAACCCAGAGAATATTGAGAACTACAGACCAATATCTATTATGCCTTTGCGAAAGCCTTTGAGATATCTGTGTATGACCAGCGAATGCCACAAGTCAAACCCCTGATCTCTGCAAATCAGCATGGCTTTCTAGCGAAAAAATCCACTGTATCGAATATCTGCAGTATCAATCAGTTTTTGATAGAACTAATGGGCAGTAAAGGATAAGTTGACGCGTTATATACAGAGATTTTGCAAATGTCTTCGACAGAATTAGTCACTCCATCTTACTAGAGAAAATAGCTCAAAAGCCCCTGCTTTTTCTCATCTACATAAGTGATCTCACCTCCGAGCTTTCGTGTGACAACTTACTTTTGCAGACGATTTGAAGATCTTTCCATCTATCACAAGTTCAAAGAGCTAATTTCACCTTCAGTCTCAATTAGACCTGATAGAAAACTGGTGTCAAATCAATAAATTGGCAATGAATATTTAAAAGTGTATTAAAAAGAATATTAGGTTTTTTGTCATACCCAGACATATTTTCAAACGTTGACAAAACATTTAAAGTAATAGCCACCTTCCGTATTGGTACTTGATTATAACTGTTTGATATTCACATTATTGATTTTTTCTCAGTTATCACGATTTTTTTAAAATGAATTCAGTGTGTGGAATAAAGCCATCCATCACAGAATATATTTTGTAGGATTACGTTGATGACGCCTGCAACAATTCAAGTTCATGGAAGTAACTTTTATTCTTCAAGATTAAGTATAATAAATTTGAATAGCTCACAGATTTTGACATATACGAATTGGAAAAAATCTAACCCTTCTTTCATCAATTATCACCACTGTTTGTATTTTTCTCATCATCATGTATAATTTCAATTGAAAGAGAATACACGTTTTCCTTAGTACTTAGTACTTAGATATTTCATAACTAGGTCGACTCTCTTCTTGTTTCATAAAATCACAATTAACCATAACTGAGAAATAAACGAAACAGTAAAACCATGGAAATTAAAATTTATCTTGATCGTACAGTTACTAAACACTAACATTTCCTGATAAGCTGCAACGGTATACAAGTTCATGCCCCTGTTATTCAAACTTGTTATTATCAAGCTAAGGGGTGGTGGTTGAAAACTTGATCAAGATATGAAAATATATACGTACGAGAAAATAAATATTTCGAAATAAAATCTCTCACCTACCGACACCATAGGTTCCTCAAATGCCCGGCTCATGAGAGGTAACACCTCGAAACCAAATCCAAATTCAAAAATTCTTTATTGAAAAATTAAAATATCACATCTACATTTTATTGTTCATCACCTGAAGGGTAAATGAAGCCTTGAAGGTAGGCTAATATGACGGACATATGCGGTTAAGTTGAAGTATAATAGCATAAGTCGCATATAAATGCTTGTATACCTACCGGAATAATCTAATTGTTTTTTGGTTTTTCACTCGTCTTGCATCTTCCTTCTGCCTTTCTCTTCTTCTCCTCTCTTCTCCTCCAACTGTCTTTTCATAGGCGTGATAGTGATAATATTGGCAGTCATTTTTCTACCACATCTCCAACCACTGCAGCCTTTAGATATGACTTATTAAAAATTCTACAAAACAGAATTGATATGATCAAAGGTATATTCTCATCTTCATCTTTTCCTATATACGATAGTTGGCACAATGGTCTCCTCAAAATGCGTTCTGGTTTTACCAAGTGTCCGAGACTATTTCGAACTGTTTGAGATTTTTTGTTTGTACGCATGTCTTGCGCAGTTTCCAAACAGTTTCGGTTGTTAAAACCAGACCAAACATTGGTAAGAGGTTGACTTTGATCTAAACTGAAAGTATTGCAGTAGATTTCACCATGTTCTGGAAGTACTGCTCCTTCTCGATGTTTTTTATATAGCGTCTTAAAGTTGCCTCAGGGATATCGTAGCGTGACGTAGCACTATTGCAAGATTCACCACCTTCTATTGCCTCCAACTCTGCAATCAAACTCACTTCGCTCCAGGACCGCCTTTCGGACCTCCTTGTATATTTTTTTGACATTCTTTAAAATTAAATGAATTTACTGTGCGAAACTTTGTGCATGGGTAAGATGACGATCCTGTGGGTAGGTGCGAATAAGATGACGAACTTCCTCACCGCACCATCTTACCCGTTGAGGTTATGTTTGAAGCCGGAGAGTATATTTCCACGACAAACATGATATCGATGATAATTGTAGTAAAATACATTCATTACTAGTAATTGAGCACAAATGTCAACATACCTTTAACAATTGGTTAGGAAGCTTATTCAACACAATGGTTATGTTAGAGCAGATATGGGAGGTACACTCATTTGCACAGTATCCGTAAACTGTTCCTCAGCGTTGCAGGGTTGCATTCCTAACTCCCCTACTGTTGGGGAGATGGCAGCACCATGCAGAAAACCTACATCGTTAGGTTTGAAGAAATTACTTCGTCAATTTACCCGACGTACGGAGAAACAGTGATGAAAAGGTAATTTTCATATGTAAATGCGCCGCTTTTTCCCCTACGGGGGGCTCCTCACTTGAAATATTTGAAAATCCTCTTTCATTGCGAGTTAGTCCTTGCAAGACCTAAGAAGTACCTATATATCAAGTATTAGTTTCCTAGGTCTTACCAGTATTTGAGTGACTTTCGCATTTATGAGTATTTACATTAGCGACCCTCCTGGTTTCATACCAGTTTGCAGAAAATTATGATGATATGTAATTTGCTATCCTTCAATATCACTAAAACAAACAAACATTTTATCATTTAGATGTGCTCTTGATGACCTGTCACTTAGTGATAACTTAGTGCTCAAGAACGAGACTCAATCTAAATTTCTAGGTATTCACATTGGCAACAAGTTCAAATTTATTGAGCATATTGAACAACTTGAAAGTAAAATTTGTTCTGGATGTTATGTAGTGAGAGTAACTTCAATAAATTTGGGAATCAAAACTGCCAGAACGGTGTATTACGCCCTTGTTGAATCCCACCTACGTTATCCCACCTATGTTATGGAACACCGTTTTGAGGAGTATGCAATTCATCAACACTTCTATATGTCTGTATTAGTACTGCAGAAACGGGCTATAAAGTATATGTGTAAGATTCAGCGGCGACTCGTCAGAAGAGGCAAGGGAGGCTTAGCCTCCCCATAAAATTTGAAATATACGTACGAGAAAATAAATATTTCGAAATAAAATCTCTCACCTACCGACACCATAGGTTCCTCAAATGCCCGACTCATGAGAGCAAACACCTCGAAACCAAATCCAAATCCAGAAATTCTTTATTGAAAAATCAAAATATCACATCTACATTTTATTGTTCATCACCTGAAGTGTGAATGAAGCCTTGAAGGTAGGCTAAGATGACGGACATATGCGGTTAAGTTGAAGTATAATAGCATAAGTCGCATGTAAATGCTTGTATACCGGAATAATCTAATTGTTTTTTGGTTTTTCACTCGTCTTGCATCTTCCTTCTGCCTTTCTCTCTTCTCCTCCAACTGTCTTGTCATAGGCGTGATAGTGATAATATTGGCAGTCATTTTTCTACCACATCTCCAACCACTGCAGCCTTTAGATATGACTTATTAAAAATTCTACAAATATTTTTATCAGTGATTGTTTGACCAACAAAGATATCGCAATCTCGAGAAAAATATGTTTTAAAGGGCCCCAAAAAGTTACATCTACAGGCTGTAATCGGTGTGTAGTGTGTGGCGGAAATCCTATCATTACTATTCCGTATTCTCGACAATAGTTGATATCTTGCAAGGAAATGTGAAAAGAATGATTGTCAATCAATAGAAGCACTGGATTTTCAGGTGTGGGGTTTGTATGAGTCATGAAGTGTTTCAGATATTTCAAAAAATCTCCGTACACCTCCAACCGCTATTGTGGGCACTTCCTCTGGACCCTGGTGGTGTCTCAAACAGCAACTCGTCTTTCATTCGTATTTTCCCAAAAATAAAAAAGGAGGGACATAATGTCTAAGTGCGTTTGCGGCGCATCCTACAGTTGTATTCTTCCCACGCTCTGCAGTCACTATTCTTGCAACACGTCGAGCCCCGGTAGGACTTGAAATCTTCGAAGGTTTGGTAGGCACAGAAGATGTAAAAAAAATCCCAACAGCAATTTTGTTAAAACCCATGAGACGTCCTATCGACGAAGGCTCGGTAGTTCTGAGACTTATATTGAATTTCATCTGAAAAGACTTTATCCAGTCTTTGCCTGCCATTCTTGATAATGTATTAAACTGATGTGGGATGTTGTTCTACTCTGCAAAGTCAAATGCTACTCTTCCGAGCTGAACTTTTGTAAGCCCGAATGCCCTCTGTCGATATCTGTTATTTAAGGTTTGTTCTGGTTCTACGAAATTCAGGTTCTAGGACGTCAGGATCATGCGCAGGTGATATACAGCGTTCTGGTTTATTGAGGATAAGTTAGGATTAATGAATCCTCTGTTCTAGTTTCGACTGCGAAATGTGCCTGAACTGTCTTGAACCGTCCCGAATCGTTCTTGCTTTAGGGGCTGAACTTTTGAGAACTGTTCCCGCTGCTCATGCGCATTCATGTGGAAATTTATTTGGGCTATTTTCTAGAATGTTTTTTATTTATTTCATTTGAATAATTGATGATTGAGGTTAGATAACAATTGAACTGAATACAAGGGTACGCTACATAACAGAATTGATATGATCAAAGGTATATTCTCATCTTCATCTTTTCATATATACAATAGTTGGCACAATGGTCTCCTCAAAATGCGTTCTGGTTTAACCAAGTGTCCGAGACTATTTCGAACTGTTTGAGATTTTTTGTTTGTACGCATGTCTTGCGCAGTTTCCAAACAGTTTCGGTTGTTAAAACCAGACCAAATATTGGTAAGAGGTTGACTTTGATCTAAACTGAAAGTATTGCAGTAGATTCCACCATGTTCTGGAAGTGCTGCTCCTTCTCGATGTTTTTTATATAGCGTCTTAAAGTTGCCTCAGGGATATCGTAGCGTGACGTAGCACTATTGCAAGATTCACCACCTTCTACTGCCTCCAACGATGCAATCAAACTCACTTCGCTCCAGGACCGCCTTTCGGACCTCCTTGTATATTTTTTTGACATTCTTCAAAATGAAATGAATTTACTGTGCGAAACTTTGTGCATGGGTGAGATGACGATCCTGTGGGTAGGTGCGAATAAGATGACGAACTTCGTCATCTTAACCGCACCATCTTACCCGTTGAGGTTATGTTTGAAGCCGGAGAGTATATTTCCACGACAAACATGATATCGATGATAATTGTAGTAAAATACATTCATTAATAGTAATTGAGCACAAATGTCATCATACCTTTAACAATTGGTTAGGAAGCTTATTCAACACAATGGTTATGTTAAAGCAGATATGGGGGGTACACTCATTTGCACAGTATCCATAAACTGTTCCGCAGCGTTGCAGGGTTGCATTCCTAACTCCCCTACTGTTGGGGAGATGGCAGCACCATGCAGAAAACCTACATTGTTAGGTTTGAAGAAATTACTTCGTCAACTTACTCGACTTTCCCCTACAAAATTTCAGCCTCTGAAAATATATCGGTACGGAGAAACAGTGATGAAAAGGTAATTTTCATATGTAAATGCGCCGCTTTTTCCCCCACGAGGGGCTCCTCACTTGGAATATTTGAAAATCCTCTTTTATTGCGAGTTAGTCCTTGCAAGACCTAAGAAGTACCTATATACCAAGTTTTAGTTTCCTAGGTCTTACCAGTATTTGAGTGACTTTCGCATTTATGAGTATATACATTAGCGACCCTACTGGTTTCATACCAGTTTTCAGAAAATCATGATGATATGTAATTTGCTATCCTTCAATATCACTAAAACAAACAAACATTTTATCATTTAGATGTGCTCTTGATGATCTGTCACTTAGTGATAACTTAGTGCTCAAGAACGAGACTCAATCTAAATTTCTAGGTATTCACATTGACAACAAGTTCAAATTTATTGAGCATATTAAACAATTCGAAAGTAAAATTTGTTCTGGAAGTTATGTAGTGAGAGTAACTTCAATAAATTTGGGAATCAAAACTGCCAGAACGGTGTATTACGCCCTTGTTGAATCCCACCTACGTTATGGAACACCGTTTTGAGGAGTATGCAATTCATCAGCACTTCTATCTGTCTGTATTAGTACTGCAGAAACGGGCTATGAAGTATATGTGTAAGATTCAGCGGCGACTCGTCAGAAGAGGCAAGGGAGGCTTAGCCTCCCCATAAAATTTGAGGCTATTCATCGCAATAAATTAAAAGATATTGAAAAAACTAAAATTAGAACGTACCAAAATGAATAATATGCTCGTTCCCAGTATTTGAGTTACCGTTTAGATTGTTCTATTTCTCACATTGCTGGTGAGCCATCATCGACATCATTCATTCTATACCCTATAGCTATAGAGTTTTGACATGTGTACGAGTAATCCCTTATTTGAAATTTTTCCTATTCGATTTCAGCCACATCACTCGTCACTTACGCCGGAGAAAGATTCGATTTTATCCTTGATGCAGATCAAGAGAAGGGTCTCTATTGGATTCGATTCAAAGGATTAATGGACTGCGACGAAAGATTCACTAAAGCATTTCAGGTGGCTGTATTACAGTATGACGGATTAAACGCAACTATAGAAGACTACCCGGAAGATATCGTCACCTATGAAAATGCTCACAGGAATGGAATCGTAAGTTTGTACATAATTATTAATAATAACTAGATCACAACTAGATATTAATGCTTCGTGAATTATTAAGTACAAAATATCAAGTTAGAGCAGTTAAATAAATTAGTATTGTGCAGTGTTAACCTAGCATTATATTGAAATTACAGCAATGAAAATGGTGCCTAGATTCAAAACATCTTGCTTTCAAAAAATGAGAGTATTCAGATAAAAGTTGCTGAAAGATACCAAAATATTGGTGTTTTCAAAATTGAAATATGTTTACCAGTTTCACTTATAACACGTATTGAGTTGAATGGCGAAAAAAATTTATTTCTTCAGATCGAAAATTACTACCGTCAGGGGATACGCGGTAAACATTTATTTTACGGTATACATTGAACAAAATTCTGATCTACAACATCATAATGCCATTTCCATAACACGTTTTATCTATGGTTGTAAATCCCAATTTCCGGCGTTTTATAAATGTCAAATAACCTGAATCACATCTACGCTCACAAAGTAGTTACATCCCTGTGCCTCACTGACATATTATATTAACGGAATATTCAAATAGTTGAAGGAAAATGTCTTTCAGTACTTGCAAAAGACGTTGACGCTTCTGTATTTGCTGCTAAAGTCATTTCCAACATTTTCTTTCCTCTTGAAAGCATTTTAGATTGAAATACACCACATTAACCACTTAATGTAAGAAAACAATTAGTGAGGTTATGACTGCTTACTGTCACTAAATGAGGAACACAAATGTTGTAAGTGATCACCTAGCACAAGTGCGTATCTAACCACATCCTAACTTAAAATACCACAGGTGTCAAGTGCACTTACCACGATTGTGAGTCTATTTAACGGTACTTAACGCATTAAATCAACTCGACTACGATGATTTTGATTTTGTAAACAATTACCACATTTGGATACAACAAAGATACTTACACTTAATCAAATACCTCACAGGCCTTTATAATAGGTAGATGCAAACAATTTTTGCCTTCTGGATATATATTTCGTAACTCCATTGGTGTTTGCTTATTAACTCTTGGTTTTTGAGTTTATAGATTGAGTTTTAGTTGAGAAACTGAAAATTCTCAACCATTAATTTATTTAGTTTGTTAAAATAACATTTCCGTGTTAGGAGAAACACATTAAAAGGTAAGACCTTATTAGTCCTTAACTCGCAAAACTTACGACTTCTGAGGATTGTCGTGCGACACCTGGTTAACGGGGAAACATTTTTTGAACATATATTTTTTTCAACAACATTAATAAATTATCGGGGTCCGAGATACAGAAAAATAAATTTGATGAATCACTTGAATGATTGTCGTGCACTAACAGATCTCAACAGGAACACTTCAATATATGTATGAACCAGTTGTTGCCCGCGGCTTCGCCCGCATATAATTTGGTTTGTCACATTAAGTTTCGTGACAGATCATTTCAAACAAATAGTTACAATATTTTTGCATCAACCAAAACTACAGGTTTCCAATTTCAAAACTGACAAAATTCAATAAAATCTCTGAACCACTATTTTACCCTCTTGGCGGTGGAAATTCCTGAATCCCTTTCTTGATGCTTATTTACGCTTTGCAAGGAACCTACCTACATCTTTCAAGATTCTAGGTTCAGTAGCTTCGGCAGTGCGTTAATATATTTATATTTGTATTTTAAAAATACAGTAACTAAAAAAGTATGCCAACTGCACTAAGTAATGAATAGCTTCGAGAATTAAATTATGTTACCTATGAAGAATTTCGCAAAACTGACACAACCGTCAACGTCGTCTGCCCTCACGTGTCTACCCGCTTCGAGTCGCGTTCTCGGCGATGACGCTTCATTGCTGAGACCGCCCCTCTACCCCCGCACATTGTCTACCGTCGTCTTATAGTAGACGCGACGCGTAATGGCTTACCGCTTTGCGTCAAGTTAATATTATCGTGATAACTTTTAAACGATTCGTCCAAATCACTTAGTGTAAAAGACAAAATGTATCTATATCTATACTCAAAACGACTATTGTATCAATTTTCATGAGTATTTGACAGATATTCTAAAAAGTGCATTGTAAAAAAGTATCCAATTCATATGTATTCATGGCTCAGTATTATGCATATAGTGGCTACCATATATGAGATTGATATATGCTTTCGCGGAATTTTTTTGGAACTATTTAAGATAAACAATATGACAGTACTTTATCTTCATGTAACTCCAACGGTATGGGCAGCGCACGCCAAGATAGCTCTCAGGGAGCAAACATTTTTCCGACTTACTTAATACTTATCGTTATATCATGACCAAAATTACCCAAAACCTTCATAAATTGTGCCTTAGCAGTTATTCTGATGTATAAGCTGGATTTATGTAAAGTTTCATCTAAATCCGTTCAGTCGTTTAGGCGTGAAAGAGCCACGACCATATATACATTCATACATCCATCCTCACATATTTTCACATTTATACTAGTATAGATAGATTTATATTGGTACATTATTCAATTCCAAAGTTTTACGAATAAACTTGTCTGCTTCAGCAAATCAATTCTCTGAATAGAGGAGTGGAAAGCAACAATTCCTTCGTCAGCATGCCGCAACTGGAATCTTTACTGAAATGGGACGATACACTGAAAGAAAAACCAGATTTTCAATACTATATTGCCTACGATTTCTACAAGATTGATAACCACGAGTTTCATAGGGCTCCACATTATGGATTTTACAACTGTGAGTAAATTTCAATCCAATTAGCCTAAAAGCATTCACCTATTAGATTTATTTGTACGCCATGAGAATCGACTCGAATTTGTTACTGTGCTAATATTGTGGAACTAGTATGTGGATTTTACGAAAAAGTAGTAATAACCGCAATTTTCATATAATATGATTTGGAGAAATTGAGGTCAATATTGTTTCTCAGGCTTGCGTATTGTTTTTGAAAAAGTTTTGATTATATTTACACGTATTTTTGTCCGTTGATCCCGAATCTGGAGTCGCTGTACTTTCGGAAATATGAACACTCAAAAATTGAAAAATCGGGTTTTTATCGACCTTCTTTGGGTGTTTCTCACCTTCTACAGTAAAATAATGTGATGGAAAACTTTATACATGTGCAGAAGGACAAATTTTTTAGGTGTAAGATTTTCTCCACAAAAAACACTTTCGTTCAATATTCGACAAATCGAATATTTCAGAAACACACTTCCTTTAATGAAAACGTGAAATGATTGGCATGCTAACTGGGTGAATTTTCAAAAGTAGACTGGTCGCTAAGTGTTGTCTTGAAATTCTTGAAAATACGTAATTTTTTTTCAAATCTAATAACGCTTATTATCAGCTTCGTTGATTTCATTAAATCCATACTACATATATTTTGAGAGTCGCTTTCGTAATTGAAGTTGAATATAAAGAAAAATATCAAATGTGAAATCTCATGTAACTACACATATGTCTCGAATAGTATTCTACGTGACTTTCTTCTACGGAAACCTGAAAAAGGTTCAGGTGAAAACACTTCACCCTCGCCTCGTCGGAGCGACCACCAATATACCGGTTTGGAGTACTAGCTCCTCGTCAGTACTGGAGGGTTATTTCAGACGGAGGGAACCCTCTGAGTAGCCAGAACAAACACGTCGTCTTGATTTCAGACACGTTAGAGCCTGGCAACCTTACCCTTTTGACTGATAGCCGGAACAAACAAAATTAAATTCAACTACTCATAAGATCTATCTGCAGTTGATTCAGTAGGATGTACCACTGCACCACCTGCCGGCAGAAGTCCGGAAACAACTCCACAAATATATACTCCAGGGTAGGAATCAGGATAATGAATGAGTAGGTTGAAGTAGGTTTACATGAGAAGCAAGGGTGAGGTGTTTCCACCTTAATATGTACATTTTCTTTCTCCTTTATTTTCTGTATCTATTTTCTGGATTGTAAGGTTCAATTTGAATTTTTCTGCTACTGGATGTACACCTATTGAAAATATATGTATTATCATTATCATAATTGAATTTTTCAGTCACTGATAGCACCGTTCAGCTACTCACACCGCAATTCAACCATATTAGTATGGAAATGCCACCATTTCCTCTGTTGTCTCAAAGAGATCAATTAGTTGACGGAGCATTCTGCAACCAAGAAACGATGATGGATAAAAACTGCGAAGTAGAACATTGTCAATGCCATCATGGAGTAAAAGTAAGTTGGTGAGAGATATGGAAGATATAGAGATGATATTTCTCCTATTGATGATATGTTATTTTTTAAGTTAGGATTAGGTTGTGGCCTTGACCACGTCACAGTTGGTTCATGGCTAACAGTGGCGGCCGGCGTTATCTTCTTTAGGGCATGTTTCACAACATTACCCCCTGTCCTGAGGATGTTCTATCCAAGAGAGAACATCTCGACCTATGTAAGGTCTGTCTCTCTATGTGTAGACAACTGTAGACTTGCTTTTGGGTGACAATTGGATTCATTATTCATTTTGGTTACCAAGTAGGGTCCTTGCCATGGTCTCTGCAATTTGGGATACGAGAGGTAGGGGAGATTATCTTCTTATCAGAGCTGTCCATAAAGTAGTCTACTCTACTAATTTGTTACGTCTGGTGGAAAGTTCTTCTTCTTGTAATGTGATATCCTTGTTCTCCTGGAGTTGACAAAATTTGCATCCGGATGTCAGGCTTGGTCTTCTCAAGAAGCTATCTGCGTTTCCGTGACTGCATCCTTTCCAATACGTCCGAAACACCTTTTTAAATTCATTTTTGACTCCTTTGCTACCTGAAATACTTCATCAAATTCTTCCTGAATCAATTTCTGTACCTTCCCTCTACTCACTTTGGAAGATTTCAAATCTTCGAATAAATAAAGGTACAACTTATTGCATTTTTCTTGTTTCTCCTTAATATTTACAAACAATTTACGATATTTCTCTCAGTTTCAGTAATAATTCACGGTCTTTGTTTCGGCTTAATCATTCTTTCTCTCTCCTTCGTTCATTTTCTTCATTTCGTCGTAATCGTTCTTTCTCTCTCCTGCGTTCATCTTTTCCTCTTCTGCGATTTTCATTCTCCGCCAGGCTCGCTTGCAAATCCAGAAAACTGAAATCTTGCCCATCCAAGAAAAACAACGGGCGGTCTCGGAAATGTGGCAAAGCCAAGCTGTGACATCAACCGGTCGAATGGAAAAAGTTAAACATTTTTCATCTTAGACAAACAAGGTTTGTGTAAACCTCCCTACAACTGAGAGGTTCATAGTCCATTTAACCAATTCGGTTTTCAATCCTAAAATTCTTCCTCGCGGTAACCTATATTGTTTGACAACTCGTTTTGTAACAGATGATTTCTGGTGTCTTTTGGTTGTTCTTTCAAAACACATTATCCATTCACTTACTGAACTATAAGTAACTGCTTCTGTAATCTAATTCAATACCCTTGTGATGGTGAATCTATTCCTTCAGAATATCGTCGAGAGTTTCAGTAGAAACACAATTTCATGTTTCTGAATCAGTAATGTTCTTCAGTTACGGTACGAGAAGTTTCAAAGCGAAGGAGATTCGAAATCGAACCGAGAGAGATTTGAAACGTGCGACCTGCTGTAATAGTAGTCAGTACAATTGCACCCGTATCTATGTCTCGAAAAATGAGGTTTCATTATGAGTTCAATGTGAAATCTCTAAAAGGAGTCGAAAAACAATCTTCATTGTATGATAACATGTTTCTGTCTGTTACCAATGAACTATTAGTATAATTTCCCGCCAACTGATTCATTCATTTCAAAACAATTCAAACAATAAATCGTAGCACCTGTGAGTGATAAAAACTGCCCTGTGAGTGGTCGAAAATTTCATATGGAGCATGGCTCTACATCAACAATAGGATTTGATTTTCATACCTACATTTCCAGCTATCTGGGATCCATCAGTATAATATACCAATAAGGTTCCATTTAGGGCTAGTATGGTATGTTTATTTTCTAACTATTTATAATTACTTGAAATTTCACCTCTCTGTTAGCCAAGGCGAATCAATAATTTGTTAAAGACCTGTCGAGAGTCTAATGACATCTAGAATATCTTGTTCCAAATCCCTCGTCTGGCAATAACACATTTTATTGAGATTATTCTTCTTCAATAACGACAATATTCATTCTGAATAATAAAACCTAATGATGGAACGTGTATTATAGGTACCTTTGAATGCAGTTGTCGAGCTGATTTTCATAGACGAAGGTTTTGCTTACGATGCCAATCATCCTCTACATCTTCACGGTTATGCATTTCGGGTCGTCGCTATGGAGAGAATGGGAGCCAATGTTACAGTGGAAGAAGTGAAAAAGAGAGATGAAATGGGTCTCATCAAACGGAATTTATTGGACGCTCCTGTCAAAGATACTGTTACTGTACCTGATGGGGGATATACCATTGTTAGATTCCGTGCAAGTAATCCAGGTAATGATAATGCTAAATAAGTATTTTTTGTAGTCTCTAAGTTGTCAGTGAAATGTAGTGAGAGAAATAGCTGGTTTTGATGAAAGATCCATCTGAATCATTAGAAAACTTAAAGTGTCTTCAACTAATTCACTTTGGCACTTGTTTGTTTCTACTGAACCGACAGAGATATGTGACACCTTTTCCTATGCAATAGGAAATATTAAATGACGAACATCAACCATTTCATAACGAAAAACTATTGGTAAATTTAGAACCAAAGAACCAGAACCAAAAATCATGTCAGAGCTTGAAGAACGAAAGTTCCTTCATTAGTGATGGAAACTCATTAGGTGACAACAATGCTCTATCTTGACTGAACTATTGAGGAGTTACACATAGCAATAACCAGGCATCAGTTCATTTCTCACAGGCATTCGTGATATTCTACTGTGTAGGAAGTTCCGGGGAGGGAAGAAACTGAATTTTGTCTGATCTATAAGAATGTTTCTCCAAAATCTACAATCCACCGTCTCTCTCATTCCAAGAGTTTCCTTCTGTTTTCTGAACCCACTATGCCCTCAATGTCCACTGTTGAAATATGTGTCTGTTAGTTATTACCTCACATATACGAAACCACCAAAGTGTGTTCAGCGTCGATGGCGCTGTACATTATCAACCATGTGTTGGACATTTTTAATTTTTTCAAAATTGAGAATGCATTGAACTGACATCCAAAAGTGAGTCCAATGATCAAATGATAAGGTGTCTATATTTTTTGTTAGTACCCGAGTTCATTGAATTCTACAGAGTAATCAAACGAAAATGAAACAAAGACAGTATCAGGAACTTCACCAACCGTATTAGGACATGGAAACCCGTCGATTTATTATTGAAAGATGACATTTTTTTTTTGATAGCATGATTATCGTATCAGAAAGGAGTAAAAAGTATTGGAAGCGATTGCCCCTTTCAAATTAACAATCGACGAGTCGGCGTTTTCATAGAATGGTGGTTGCTAGTTAATAGCTCCATTCAATTTTTGTTTGGCCAAGTTATACATGAAAAAATCATTAATGCGAGTTCGTTTTTCCAGGTTATTGGATTCTTCATTGTCATTTGGAATTCCATGCAGAAATTGGTATGGCGATGATATTACAAGTTGGAGAAAATGATGACATGGTAGCAGTTCCTCAAAATTTTCCCAAATGTGGAAATTACTTGCCAGATCCACTAATTGATGAATCTAAGAAAGACAGAAAGAGTAGTAGTTCTATAGTTGGATTGAGTAATATCCTGGAAGTTCTAGCTCTACTCATGATACTTAACAATTTTTTCATCATTTAATTTGATCATTATTAAGTATAGGCAAACAAATTCAAAGTACTTAAAAAACCCAAGACTGATTTTCATCTTGTTAAATATCAGGGATTTAGTAATACTTATTTGAAGACGTTTTATAATTTGCTATTTCGAATACTATATATATATATAGGTATGTAGTAGATTCGCCATATACTCGACTATAACTTGATTATGGACTGCCAAAACTGTGTTTCACAGGGATTTGTTTCTGAATTTTTTTCAATGTGCTGACCAGTATTCACGATATCATACAGTATTTGTGTGACCTCGTGATCTAACACCGACAGCGTTATTTCGACCCGCCGAGGTCTCATCAGTGGTACTAGACTGAACCATTCAACTGCCTCAAAGGTTTTCCATGGCAGTTCGTTTAAAAGCCAACCTTCCACATCGACCGACGAAATAGATTCATCCTCTGTCTTCCACTGCAGCTCTCACTACAATGCAACTTCATGCTTTCGTGATCCAATACCTGACAGCGCTGTTTCGACCCGGCAAGGTCTTATCAGTGGTGCTTGGCTGAACCACTCAACTGTCTTTAAAGAACTAGCCTGAAAGTAAGAGCAATGACATCTCCCCTTTGGATCAGTCGCCCTACAGTGAAAGCTGCAGTAAGTGGCCGATATCAAAGCTTGCAACTAACCGCCTTGGTGAGCCTTGTTTATCCTTGATATTTTAAGATTGAGGCTTCTGTCAGTCCCATAAAGGGCGTCTATGTAACGAACGATGTCAACGTCTTCACTAATACAGTGTTCCCTATATAAGGTTCGAAAAGTTTTCCTACATGAGAAGTATTTTATTTTCTTCTTTCTACATGTTTTGAGTACGATGATATTCAGCAATTCATTAAAGAGTCTGTGATTATGGAAAATAGGTTACGTAAACCTTGTTTTCAGAAGAATTGTATCAGCTACGTCTCATAATTTTTACAGATATTAACGATTGAAATTACTAGTCCTGGACAAGATATTTTATAGTGTATGTTAGTTTTCAAATGCCCGATTCACAAAAGAACCTTCAGTAGAACTCAATGTAATATAAATCAATTCAATCAGTTGTTCTCATCTAGGATGTAGTCTATTTTTATTTAACATGAATAAGATATAATTTATTGAATCGAGCTAGTGATGTAACATGTGATAACTGAAAGAAATAAATAACTGATTTAACGAATGAATAGTTTTGTTACTGAATAAAGATTACACCAAAGCTCCTTATTATACCAGATCAACCCATGTATTTATAAGATGTAGGTCTGAACAGCAGAACAGAAGATGTTACGTCTACATGTGGATTCACCAATAACTATCATTACACTCATTTCACTGGTTTCTGTTGTCCAATTTCCGAGCTCATTTTCGAACTAATTGATATTCCACTCGATGCGCTTATATTTATAGTCCGGATAAACGAACATACCAATACCAATCTTCAGAGCCTTCTACGGGGCCCCTGCCAGTTTCTGAATCAATGACATGTCTTCATTATAGATTGTCATGGTGACGATGTGATTTCATGATACATTGTCGGATGATCAGTGGTTCGGTCCATGGAGTTTTCTGGCTGCCATGGATCAAGTTGTTTATCTGGCCGATCTGAAATCAAGAGCATTTTCATCTCCTCTGTTATTCGGGACAGATCCATCTGACTATGGTTGAAGTAGAGTTGTGTTGTTTTACTTCTAATACTTGCATCACTCCTTGGTCATAGTCCTGATCAAAAATGTCCCTGATTGGAATATTTCAGCTAACGTACCAGATCTTTGAATCAATATGAGCGTAATCTTAGACTGCTGTTGCTATTGTCAGTCACGGAAAAAGGTCCAAGTATATCTTCTGCAACTTCCTCAAAGTAGGATCCAGACAGACATTCTGTCATTTCTGCCAGATCCCTTATTGGAGTATTTTTTTGATACTCAAAGTCTCAGTTTTCTGACGAACTCATAGATGGGTTCAAGAGTATCTATGAGCCCATCCAGTACCAATGACAGGTCAAAATAGCACTGTCCGGTATTGGATCATGGATGGGAATATTCCAGCACATTTTTGATTTATGGTCTCATCTGGTACAATACAATAGGCCACTGAACATAGTGACCTTTGGCAATTGCAATATTCTCAAAGACTTCGTTGGTGACCTAGGTTTGAACTAACTTCAAAAATTTTTTCTACTAACTTTTTTCCTTTCATCTGTCATCCATAGATATACCCTTTCCAAAATACGAATCGTACAATAAAATGTGAGGCCTCGTTAATCTTCAGCTCGCACAATTTCATCTTCCGTAAGGAGATGACAGCTAGTTGATGAAAATACACATTTCAAATATTTTAAGTACACACAAAGACACACATACATTGTTTCATTTGAGGATTTGTTATACCTTCTCTCTCTAGCTACTAGGGGATCCTTTATGCACTATAAAGTGAACAAACAATCTGACACTGGGTATATACAGAAAACAGGGCCCTGAGTCTATATAGAAAACAGACCTCGACCAAGCAACTCCGATCGTCTGTCCTGCAACATCAGATCAAGAGCAAAAGCTTATCAGTTTACCAACTCTCAAACAAACAAAGAGCCAGAGAGCAACTTTAAGCCTCCTCAAGACCAGGATTTCTTATGAATGTGCCTCGCAGTAGTAGAAACAGAATATGCATCGGGGAAGAAAACCATTTATTGAAAACAGTTCTTCTAAATCAGAACAAACAAGTTAGTATCAGGAGATGATAACAAAAATAAATAATAGTTATTAATGTTATTAATATTAATATGTAGCACATATGTACATATATACATATGGAGATATTATAAAAACTGAATATCATAACAACGATATCATAAACAACGTCAGTTTTTTGTGTTCGCGAGTTCGCATTAACAACGACCATGGATGAAATTGAAGAAATTGAGAAACAAAATCAAATTTCTTTAGAAATATTGGAAGAATCATGTGCAGCGAGTATTGATTTACTGCCGAAAATAACTCACGAGCGATATCAAAAAGAATATGAGTATTTCAAAACGGCCGTTAAAAAATCTTAACGGACAGGGAGGCTTTTCAATTGTCATCAAAATAACAATATGGGCTTTCGAAAAAACTATTAATGGTATGTAAAATACAGGGTGTCCCAAAATTGAGTTACCAAGCGATATCTCTGTTATTCGTAAAGATAGAAAAATCAAACTGAAGTAGTATTGAACGACGTCAAAATGCACCTCTGAGATTATGTTGAAAATCATAGTTTTCAAGAAACCACACTCAAAATTGTTGTTTCCAATGGTGTTGGGGTTTATCCCCTTGAATTCGAACTCCAATTATTCTAAACAAGAAAAACTCCAGTAACAATGTTATTGTTAACACCACTTCAAATATCTAAAACCCAACTTGTGGCAAGGGTCAGAAATCTACCTACATACATAAGGGTGATGCAGTTGTTCGATAACGAAAAAATATTTGCCCACAAATACGAGACAGTAAATGTGGCCAGATCTATACAAAATATAAAAAGTTATGATATTCTGAACAAATGGCACCCCCAGAAAATTTCCACATCGAGTCTATGTCACTATAAATACTATCATATATTATTTCTTATGCAAGGTCTCCCAGAACTCAGTCAACATGCCACATTTTTGTATAGGAAGGGTTGCAGAATTGAAGCAAAGTTAGCTTGTAGAGACGTTGGTTTGCCCTCCTGAGAATATCGTCGACATCATGCTAACCACTGACTTCAAAAAAGTATTCACTGATGTAGTTTCTCGAAAAGGCATTCTGAAACAAATTATACTCCAATTGAGTCTCCCTGTCACTGTTCAAATTATGTCAGTACTATTTGTCATGTTTGTGAGCCATCGTATTATGAAATTTCTTCCTGACGTTCCGTTAGTATGCATGACTAGCTCCTTCAGAGGTGCTTCCATTGGAAAGAACTCTTTTCTAGTATCGTCCTAGTAAAAAACAGGAAAACACTTGCAAGACACTTGCAAAATGCGCCTGCAGGATTTGTGAATCAGAATTCCCGAATGAAGAACAGTCACCTCATTCGAATGAAGATATGATATAGATAAGGCCTTGAGATCAAGGGCATCCTTGCGCCAGAACTCGGAAGAACAAACAACGATTGCCATAGCTTACCAATCATTTGTCTCTAGAGTAACAGATCGAATAGGAAATATTCTGGGTGAATACAATAAGGAAGATAAAGAATCAGACTGCGATCAGTCAAAGATTATAGGAACCCACTCTCAGATGCGAGTGTAGTAGAGTATACATAAGAACTACAAAGAGGTTCATGTATGTCACGATAAACTAACACCAAAAACATTGCAGATTGAGACAAACAGATAAGTCAGTAGTAGTGGAAAATGTGCTAAGCGAGGTAGATCGTCAAATCTTTTTTGGAGAAGTCAAACAAGGGATATCGTAATCAGTCAAATCGGTTAGTATGGGGGAAGAATTGAGTCCACTGACCGTTGAATGGAAATGAAAAGATGAAACACTGAAACTCAACCGAATATGAACTCTATTCTCGTCAGAACGAAGATAGCCCCCGATCAGATTCCTTCACCACTATCACATCCTATTGCTTCATCACCTCTACAACACCCCAACATTTGAAACATTCGAGATGGAAGCACTTCTGAAAAAGCTAGCCACGCATGCATGTGATAAAAACAGTGACAAGGCTAATCAAATAGCATACCTATACATTTTTTGGGGGTGTAATTTCCAAAACAGAAGTAGAAAATATTATTTTAATCTGGTTAGCATTTCTGTAACTCTTCTTATGACGGAAATATCACGAGTTTACCAAATTCGGTGACACCCTGCATGAAAACTGTGGCAGTACTTACAATATAAGAAGCTGCAAGTACAAAATGCATAAATAATTTCGAAATTCATTATTTTGGCGTAGGTAGTCTAAAACTGGATATTCTAAAAGAATATCCACATGAGCTTTCTGATTCCATGTTACCCTATGGAAAGTTGGTGTTTTCTTGCGAAGTAAACTTCAGGCAAGTACTCAGCCGCCAGAAGAGAACTTTCAGGAGATAGCACTGAACAGCAGTCAATCTATAGCAGAAAATAATTCCTATAGTAAATTTGTTGGAGGCAGTCGAAGACTCGGGTGAATATTCATAGAAATATATGGTGGCTCCTCTGATGACTTGGCTTTTCATGTTTGATTCGTTGACTGGAGCTAGTATCACATCACAAACTCAAATCTGAAACTGACAGCTCTCCTAATAAGCCATTTTGGGTTCCACTTTTTCTGAGAACCGTTCTGTCTTGTGATGACATACTTGATTACATGACTGTACAGCAAGTTCGCAGTTTGTTACATTAATATCTTGTAACGTCATATACAGGCCGTTTCTTTTATCATATGGTAACATTGCTACATTCTGAACCGTAACAAATACGAAAACGATTGAATGGGAAAAATGGTAACTGTCATCGGGAACAATACAATGGTTGAAGAAAATTTACGGGGACACTCGCTCTTTTCGAATTATACGAAGTCTACTATGATGATGTAATGCTAAATATTCGATAATACATTTCATGTCAATATGGCCACCGTCAAGATTGTTTAAATACGGACCTCTCTTTTACTTCTTTTATAAATTGTTTCGATTTCTTCAAAATATAATCCAGACAACCTAATACATTCGATAGGTAGGTACCCTACCACAATGAAAATTCGTACTTTTTCGTTTTGGAAATTTTTGTATTGCCGTAATCCTCCTTTCAAGTCATTTCTCCATAATGAATTATAATTCATAATATTTTTATAAATATTAATCCTGGAAGTAACGAAAATATCAGTTTTTGGCCAAAATTCGATTGTTGTATAATTTGGTATGATCAAATAGCATCTCAATTCATTTACCATCTTAAACGCGTAGGCTTTGCTTGGTTTGTATGGCAGGAAAAATGAATGCGTTGTTGATATCTGTTGAGAACTGTCAGACGTTCATGAACATATCAAAGATGTATTCAAATGATGAAAAGACTGATATGATATTTAGTTATGCAGAATCAAATGGAAATACTTTTTTGGCCAGGGAGTTATACTCGAGTTATACTCGAATCGTCGTACTCCGAACATCCAAATGTTTAGACGATTAGAAAGAAATTTGAGGGACTATGGTGCATTCGACAGAAAGAAAAAA